CTTTATATATTCTGCATAATTCTCTGGAGATCCATCCTTGTTGTTCTGTATGTCAATAGTCCAATTCTTTTTATTTCTGAGTAGTATTTTATTGTATGGATGCACCACAATTTGTTTAACCATTCACTCACTGAAGGCCATTTGGGTTGTTTCTAGTTTTTGACTACAAATAAAGCTGTTATGACCATTTGTGTCCTCATTTCTGTGATTATAGCTTTCATTTGGTAAAAGTATGGTTAGTGTTTTAAGAACTTACCAAGCTATTTTCCAGAGTGTCAATGTACGAGAAAACAGGATTATTCAAAAATTGCATTTTCTAATTGTTCATTCCTAGTATATAGAAATACAATATATTTTTTCTTGTTGACTGTATACCATATTGGGAGCTCTGGTACCCTAATGCCTAAGGCACCCTAAGGCACTTGAATGCCACAAAGTATAATATTAGTTGTACATTTGGCAAAGATGCCCTTTATCAGATTTAGATTCTTGCTGTCTCTTACTGGTTTTCTGATAGCTTTATTTTTTTAAAATCATGAATTGATAATAAATTTTGTTAAATGCTCTTTCTGTAGGTATTAAGATGATGATATGATTTTTCTCCTTTAATCTGTGGAGATAGGGCAAATGCCAGAAATATCTTGTGAGGTTTGATGTCTCAAACAACTCTGAACTCTGACCTGTCTGTGGGGTCCTGCATGGGAAATCACAAGGTCTGTCCCGCATCGTGATAAGCTTACTTGGTCACAGGTTGCACTCTAGCTTCTGCAGGTACCTCCTGATTTAGAGGGCACAGAAGGATCCTCTGGTGTCACTTGATCCCAGAAAGACTCTCATTCTTCAGCACATGTCTGCACTTTATCCTCAACAAGAACAATGGAGGAAAGGTAAGGGTTTATCAAGAGCTGTCTTATTTCCAGAGCCAGTTATGGTTTTTGCACTAAAAGCACATCTCCATGTTTCCATCTTGTGGGTAGGACACGCAGAAGCCATGGTGCTTCCTCAGAAAAATGCATAAAACCTGAAATTCCTTAGTTGTGTCTTTGAGGGATGGTTGCCTTGACTGTGGGAGATCTGAATGTCAATCAGAACCTTTTTCCTTTTGATCCATCTCCCTAAATTCTCTGAATTCTCTTTCATTGTAGCCTTTCAAATCTGCTACCATGAAGAGAATAATGGCTGTTACATTAACTTACGGAACAAGGTGACCTGCAAGCACTGTTTCCCAGAGCTAAATTACTGCTAATGCCGGGTTTCATGGTTTTATTTGTTCTTCAAAACTTTTTCCTTTTGGTTATGGTGGGTTCCCAGGAGAGAAAGATGGCCCAAAGTGGATTAACAGAGGAGTGTTTATAAAGATGGGCAGGGTTAAGGGAAAATTATGGTGCAAGGTGAAGCACCCTAATGAAAAGCAATAGTAAACAGGGGTTTCCTCTCCTAGCCTGACAGGGACAAGGACAAGGGGAAAGTGCAGCAACCAGGACACAGAGACCTGTATCTGTATCTGTAGCGTTAGGAGAGGAGCATCAGGTAGTAAGAATAGTGGTGCCAACCAATTCACAACTTGGCAGAGAGAGAGTCTTGAGACCCTGAATCAATTTCTTCCTGCCCTTTAGTCTCCTGTTGGTATCTCCCAGTGGTTCACTTTAACCAGCTATTTCCTCTGTTAAATGATCATGTTATAATAAATCAAAACACAAAACAGAAAAACAAACAAAAACTCATTGACATAGAGTGGATTCTGACTCATGGCAACCCTAGAGTAGAATGGTTCCACAGGGTTTTCTTGGCTATAATCTTTATGAAAGCAGATCACTAGGCCTTTCTTCCACAGTGCCATGGATGGAATCAAACCACCAACCTTTAGATTAGTAGTTGAGCACAAACCATTTGCACCACACAGGGTCCTAAGATGTTATAAGAAAGGGTCTATCAAGGACATGTACATTTCCTTTAGTATCCTCATTCATTGATTCATTTATTTATTTTCTGAATAAAAATTTCTTGAATATGCATGGTGTCCTCCAAAAGGAGCTAGGCACAGGGGAAACAATAATGAATAAGGAATGAACAATGAGGACTTCCTGTCCTCATAAAGCTTACACATGGAGCCATTTGTAGCTCAAGAACACTACCCTTCCTCACATCTGTCATATCAAGTAGTCATATTTCTCTCACATGACTAAAGTAGATGATGGGGATATAGTAGTGGAGAAGAAAAAAGTTCTTATGACCCATACCTTTAGAAGCATAGAGTTTAATGTAGGAGAAAAAAAGTCATATGCTTAAAAAATAGTTTCAAACTGTGTTAGAAGCCTGGAAGAAAAGTCCAACATGCCCTGAGAGAGGACAAAATAGATTGTGGTTTCCTCCCATTTTATCAAGCTAACTGGAGCTAAGAGAACTAAGGGAACTCATGATGGAAACATCAGTCCTTAATGCTAACTCCGAGGCCCAGAGCCCCTGCCTCCTTTCCACACACAGTCCAGAGTGACTGGTGACTTTTTTGGGAGGCATGAAGAGGTTTCTGGGCCCTGCATTTTAGCCCCATTGACTTTCACCCATCACTTCTTCGTTCAATATTTGATGGGTTCTCTTTCTCATTGTTTCTGAAATTTACCTTTTCTAGATTAATAAAACACAGATGTGAATTGACATTTCAGATTTGTCCTTGACATTTATGTGCTTTCTCTCCTCCCTGTCCCCCAATTTCAAGTGTGGTCAACACACTGCACCAGTCATATGCACACAGGGAAGGTTAAGGGCATGAACTCTGACACAGACCTGTGGGTTCACATCCAAGCTCTACCACTTTTTGGCATGAGATCTGGAGCAAAACACTCAAATCCTGTGTGCTTCAGTTTCCTTCTCTATAAAATGGGAATAAGAACAGTGCTTAACTTATATGCCATTTGGAGGATTAAGAGGTAATGCCAACTAAGCACTTGATCAGCTGCTAATATCCATCCAGTTGTCAGTCAGCCAGCCCTTATTTCCCACCTGAAATCTTCATGACCACCATGTGTTTCTCTTTTCACCCAAAGTCCTGCATAAAGTAGAAATGAACACTTTAAAAAAAAAATTTCCTCCAGGAATTCTCTTACCAAAAGCTTTAATCAGGAAGATAAACTTGACTCAAAACCACCTAGAGGAGAGAATTAGTGCATTTATTTTGCTTGTCTCATAGCAATCACTTAATAATCCCCATTTCTATTTCCCCAGATACCTTTATCCAGCTGTGTTGTCACCTTTCCCTCCTCCATTGCCAACTTTGCCCCATTCTCCTCTAAAATGTAGAAAAAAATTAATTCAGCTCAGTTTCTCTCCATAAACTGAGTAAGTGCTCAGCAAGGCCATATGCTGACCCTTCATTGTTTGGAGACTTGAGGGTGGCCATCATTAGCTTCCTGTGCAGGTATAAGTAATTCTTTCAAACATGCACAGAGCTTTAAACACAAGGAATAATCATGAATAAAATTTTCTTTATTTCTTTACATATGTATTTTCAGATGACTTTAATTTCATTTATAATGTTTTGTTTTACATTCAACTCAAATCTACACTTCCTGTAGTATCTCCATTCATTGATTCATTTATTTATTTTCTGAATAAAAATTTCATGAATATGCATGGTGTCCTCCAAAAGGAGCTAGGCACAGGGGACACAATAATGAACAAGGAATGGACAATGAGGACTTCCTGTCCTCATAAAGCTTACACATGGAGCCATTTGTAGTTTAAGAACACTGACCTTCCTCACACCTGTCATAGTAAGTAGTCACATTTCTCTCATGTGACTAAAGTAGATTTTTTTTGTCTTTGGTGGGTGGCTGCTTTCAATCACTATGGTTGGCCTATGGTTCATGCCTGGGCCTTCCAATTTCCTGTTTCTGAGAGAAAACCCCTGTCCCAAGGCAGAAGGAATTCTGAGTCTAGAGCCTTGTGGCTGTCCCACAGAACCTGTTCTAGACTTTTCTCCACCTGCATCCTGGGGTACATAACATGGCCTAGGACAGTGAATGGATATTTGGACCATACAATGCCCATGGGACCATTCCCATGTAAGTAGAGAGGCTATGTGTCAATAGAGGGAGCTTGGACTTTAGAACCAGCAAGAACTAGGATTCAATCTAGATTCCAGGTTTCACTGGTCTCTCATAAATTAATCACTTCAAGTCTGCATTTCCCTCCCATATAATACCTATCAGGGTGTTTGTGGTCAGTGATTATACAGCAGTTCCTTAGCTCTTGTTTGAGTTCCCAGGGGCATCAGTGGAGGGTTTCTGAGCATGGATCCAACCATTCAAACCTGGGACACCAAACTCGTATCAGTGAATGGAAATGACAATATGAAATTATATGGAGATCATGCTATCAAGCATACTGGTCTTCATCATTGCCCTGGGTGGCAATGAGATTGTGCTCTGGCTCCTAGGTTATTGCATGCAGAGGAACATCTTCTTCATCTACAGCCTCACCCTTACTGGGGCTGTCTTCCTCTTCTTCTGCTGCCAGATTATACATTCCCTAGCAGAATTGATCACCTTTTCCATCTCATATCTATTCTCTGTTTCTTGAACACTGTAATGATTGCCTCCACTGTAGCCCTTAGCATTCTTAGGGCCCTAAGCATTGAATGCTTCCTGTCCATCTTGTAGCCTACCTAGTATAGCTGCTGCCACACAAGACATACATCAGCTATCATATGTGCCCACCTCTGGGCCTGTTCTTGCTGCTGAGCTTCCTGGAATGGATTGGCTGTGACTACATGTTTAGCAACTTTGAGGAGGGGTGGTATCAGGCATTTGATATTTCCAGTACCCCTGACCAGGATCCTCTGAGTCTCTCAGCAAATGCATCTGACCAGGTTTTCGATGGTCATCTTGCTCACAATGCTGGTCTTCCTCTCCTGTGGCCAGCCCATCTTCATCCAACATTTCTTTTCCTTTGGGGATTATTTTGATGACAATTTGTTTTTTCATCTTCATCTGAATGGGGCTATGGTCCCCTGTGTTAACAGTAGCACCAAACCCATTACATACTTCCTCTTGGGCTCATTTAGGCAGGGACAGTGGAGGCCAACCCTCAAGTTAGTTCTCCAGAGAGCTCTACAGGACATTCTTGAGGTGGATGGATATGGAGGAAGCCTCCTTCAGGAAACCATGGAGATGTCAGAAAGGAGCTTGATCCCATGATCAAGAGCCTTTTTCCTGGTCAATCAGATGTGACCAGAGAGTCTACATTGCTCTGCCGGACTTGGCAATCACCAGCACTTCTCTCAGACTCCTCCAATGTACCTCAGTGATTGCCCATGTCTTCAAATAGACTGTTTTTAATTTACCTGGCTTCTGTAGTTTTTCTGAGAGAAAATATTGGTCTGAGAGTAGAAGCTCACTATCTTTCTCTATGTTACAAACAAATTGATCATTTTACCTTCTCTGAATCTTTTCTTATTCCAGACCTTTAACTGCTGGTTTTATTACAATGGAAGGAATCTCTGTTCAAAATAATAATCCCCTTATTTATGATTGTTTTTTTTACCTGATAGGACAGAAATAAAGAAAGTCCTTATGTGTCTCTCCAAGAGTCTCCTGAGAAACCTCTTCAGTTCTGTGATTGGGCTCACTGTTGCTGGTAGAATGCTTGGTTCTGTATGAGTGAGTTCTTCCATATCACATTAGGTTTCCTGTCCTTGGAAAAAGAATTTCCTTAGAGACAGACTTCTGCCTGCATAGAAACTGTCCCAGAAATTAGCCTTTTGAAAAGTTCTTGGAAACATTTGTCCCTGGGATTGTGACCTTGAGCTTCTGCACCTTGAGAACGGATCAGTGGTTATTTACCTCTGGACCCAGCCACTGTTGAGTCTAGAACTGTGTCCCACCAGTTGCACTTTGCCACTGACAACTTTGGTGTGGGTTTTGAAGTGGAAATTATCTTGGAGACCCTTCATTTCCACGATCCATCATTATAATCACTATGTTGTACACACTTTCCACATTTCTTCTCTGCAAAATATTTGCCAGATGAAAGTCCTCCCTAGTTGAATTCAATTCTCCATTCACTCCCCACCTGTTTGCCGGGAGCTGAGTGTGCTGGGATGTGTGGTAAATTCCTTACATCTTACAGGGGGCCCAATGGATCTTGTTAACACTGATAACTTAAAAAAAAACAGAAATAAAATTTTACAATTCAAAGCTATAATCATACCTTAAAAAAAAATAAGAAAGGTAAGGTTACATGTTGTTGCTTTGGAAAGTAGCATTTCAGAAAACTTTAATCTTCATTTGACACACTTCTGTGTCATTTGAAAAGAAATTTTAAACAGTTGTGCATTATTGCTATGATAGGAAAAAAAAAAAAAAAAAAGGGTGGGTGGGCCACAGTAGACTTTGAAGGCCAAGCAAAGGAAAGAGAGCTTCATTTATAGCACTTCAGCACTGGGAAGCTATGTGTGTGTGCTATGTGTTATAAAAACCTCTCAGTGCAGGAATTCATTGCTTGGCATTGCTGCCCATGCACACAGTTGGCTGGGAAAGGCTCCAGAAGGGCTAGCACACATAGGGTGGTAGCCTGGATAAGGAGGGGATGGTTAGATGATGAGACACATGAAAGCAAATGTTGAGAAACATTTCTTGAGGCATCATGACTCAAACAACTCTGCACTCTAATTAGCCAGCAGGCTCCTGTACAGGAAGTCATAGGGCTATCCAGCTCTAGATAAGCCTTGCTCAGGAACCAACTTTTACTGAACCTCCTGCAGGCACCTCTTCAGAGCAGAGAAGCATCTTCCACCAACTGTCAATCCTAGGAGGTCTGTCCCCTTCAGCCTGGCAAGCTCCCCACTCCAACCAAAAGAATGGAGGAGAGGTAAGAGTTCATCAAGAACTATTTTATTTCCAAAGCCACTATTGTGGTTTTCCTCTTATTCCTCATCTGCATCTCTCCATCACTCCACTGTGGGATGGGATTTTCAGGGAACCATGGGGCCTCCGTCAGGAAAATGTAGGAGACATGAAGCTCCCTCCTGGCATGTTGGTGTCAGCACCCTTGACTGTGGGACATGTGAATGGGGTCAACCAGGACGGTTCCACCTTCTGAATCAGCTCTTTATTCTCCTCTTCCTTCCAACCATTCAATCCTGCTGCCAGGGTGAGAAATACACTGCTTTCATTCATATAGGGAGAAAAATAGCATAGCTGCATAGCTGCCCAGTGCTGAAGTGCTATTAATAAATCAGGCTTCCCTATTTAACTTACTTTCAAAAGTTTTCTCCTTTGTGAATCTGTCAGGGTCCTGGCTGTAAATAGATGGCCCAAACTGGGAGAATAGAAGACTTTTAATAAAGGTACTATTTACAAAGATGGGAATGATTAAGGGAGGGTCACAAGGGATGGTGAAACCCTTAAAGGCAAGTAATAAGGGAAATTCTTACCACTCCTAAGACTGAAAGGGTGAAAAGAAGAAGTTATCTCAACTCAGGGCAGTAGCTGTGGCAGTGGGTGTGGCTTTGGCTGTAGGAAAGGACCACCAGACAGGGGCTATGCCCTTAGGTATAGTAACATTGCCAGATTCTGTGCTCACATGAAGACTTTTCTCAGAAGCTCTCTACATATAATAAATTATGCAGTATAGAGCAGAGGGGAAGCCTTGGATAGGGCTCTGGGAGACCAGGGCTGATGTTGGCCCCACTATTCACTGGTTAGGACACCTGGTTAGTGCACAATGGTTCATGCTCAACTACTAACCTGAAAGTTGATGGTTTGAAAATTCCCAGTGGCAGCTTGGAAAAAAGGACTGGCATTATGCTTTCATATAGATTACAGCCAAGCAAACCTACAGAGCAGCTTGACTCTAATACATGGGTTCTCCACGAATCGTTCAAAGGCAATAAGTTTGGTTTTATCCATTGTGTAACCTCAGGAAAATCCCTCTGACTCTTTTAGCCTCTGCTGCTGCTTCTGTTAAATGAGGATATTACAGTAGATGGCCTCTAAGGGACATGTACCAGATGCTAGAGATACAACACTGAACAAAACAAAACAAAACAAACAAACAATACACAGGCATGATTCAGGCATTACAGAGCTTAGAGTTTAATGAGAGACATAAAAAAAAAGATATAGACTTAAGATAGAGTTACAATCTGTGTTAACCGCCAATAAGAAAAGTTCAGTGTGCTCTGAGAATAGACAAAAGAAATTGGAATTTTCCTGCCATCAACTCATCAAGCTAACTAGGGCTGCATGTTAGGAATGAATTGTGTCCTTAAAAAAGACATGTTGAACTTCTAACTCCTGTACCTATGATGGTGACCTTATATCAGGAATAGGTGTTTTATTTATTCACTTTTTTCTTTTTATCAGTTGGGTCAAATGAGGTCATACTGGAGTACAGTGAGTCCTAGTCCTAATTCCTTCTTACTGTGTCTTATAAAATGGAGTGACACACCGGGGGAAGGGAGACACCATGTGGCAATGGAAGCGGATGCATCTGTAAGCAGCAAAAGGATTGCCAGCACTACCAAAAACTAGGAGCTTTGGTGATGTAGTGCCTAAGGCATTTGACTGCTATCCAGAGGGCTGGCAGTTCAAACAGACCAGCTACTAGTCGGAAGGAAGGTTGGGCAATCTACTTCCGTAGTGATACCGCCTCAGAAACCCAAGGAGGTGTTGCTATGAGTCAGGTCTGACTAGACAGCATATAACAACAACCAGAAACTAGAAGAGGGGCTGTTTTGGTTACTTTGTGCTGCTCTAAACTACCACAAATGCGATGGCTTTAACAACTGGGATTTATTCTCTTTCAATTTTGGAGGCTAAAAGTCTGAGTTCAAAGTGCCAAGCTCTAGGGGCTGGGTGAATACCCCTTGACCTTGGGCTTCAGCTTTGCCTCTTGCTCCCAGCCCGCTGGACCTAGAAGCGTCTCTTCACTCAGGCAGCTGCTGGCTGCTGAGGGTGACAAGGCCAAGGTTGACAAGTAAAAAGGCACAGTTCCAATATTACCAAACAATATGGCAGGCCACTAATTCAAGTCCAGAGACTGTCCCAAGATCAGTAGGAAAATGACAGGCTGTTAAATGAAGGCTCAGCTACATGTAGGCTCCAAGCATGCCAAAAAGCTGCAGGCCATTCCTAAAGCTTCTCCATATATACTGGGAGCAGACCACATCCCTGAGGTACCTACTCAGCTGCTCACATTAGATTCCACCATGGAGTTGATTACCAGTCTCATCATGGGGAATACTAAGTCCAGCTGCCCAGCCACTGAAAACCAGGCCCAGCCAAGTTGACACATAACTTTAACTATCACAGAGGCCCACAGCAAGAATCAACATGGAACACCTGAGACTATGGCCATTAGACATCTTTCAAACATGGAAGTGAACCCCACCCCCAGAGATCACCTTTCAGTCAAATAATAAATGGACTTATAAAGTGAACAATAGTACCCTTGAGGAGAGTACTCCTCAGAGCAATCAACCATATAGAACCAAAAGAGCAGTGTTTACCCAAAAACAAAACTCAGAAGGCAGGAAGGGATAAGAAAGAAGGACGGATAGAAATGGGGAACAAGAGAGGAAGTGGGAAGAGTGCTTTGAGGGGTTTGCAACCAATGTCATAAAACAAAGTCTGCATAAACTGTTGAATGGGAAAATAATCTACTCTGTAAACTTTCACCCAAAGCACTATCTAAAAAAAAAAAAAAAAAAAGGATCAACACTGTCGAGGCCCTGATTTGAACTTTTACCCTCTAGAACTGTGAAAAAATAAATTTCTGTTCTTTTAAGCCACCTACTCTGTGGTACTTTTTTAATGGCCACCCTAGGAAACTAAGACACAGTGAGAACTAAAAGGGTACATTATGGACACTTTCGGTCACGTATGCCCACCCAGAGGTTCCCAGAGAAAGCGTCTTTCCACTTGGATCATCCTGCCCTGTGTGAGTCCTGGGAAGTCTGAACTGACAGGTGCCTTTCTGGAGACGGGTAGGGTCTCCTGGGATCCAGTCTGGGTCCACTTAACTTCCACCTACTTCTTATTCAGTCTGTGTATGATAGACTTCTCTTCCTTATAGTTCTGAAATTTACCTATTCTAATTTAATAAATTGTGTATGTGAACTGCCATTTTGTATTTGTCCTTGACAGTTGTTTCCTACCCAGTTTCCATGTGTAGTTGACACCCTACCCTGGCAGTGGGGCTGCAGGACAGGTTAAGGGCATGGACTCTG